GTTGAACAGAGAACTGGACTTGGCTAAATGGCCTTTTCCAATTTCCTGATTCTACAGTTGGCTGACAATTGTTTATTATGGAAGTGAGGGTGGAGATGCTGGATGAGTCTTGACACATTTATTTCAGAATATATTTGTCTAGTTTAGAATTTCATTCACAATGTCCCACCCTTGTCTCTTGTATGTGTAACTAGAAAAGAAAACACATGCTGGAAGAGGGAGAGAAAGAGGGTCATAGATAATGCAAAAGTTTGCTTGAGCTCCATCTAATCACTGCTGCCACAGTCATTAGCTACCTCTTCCCCTAATATTCGTATTTCCTCAATAGCATATTAACTACCAGGTGACTTACACTGGCAAGTGTCAGAGTAGAATCTGGTCAATTATCTATCCATCATCTTTTTCATGGGCTTTATATATTACAATCAACAGTGTGTCAAAGATCCTAAGATCTTTGGTAGCATAGACCTTTACACTTACCTGGCCAGTTCTAACAACCCTGGCCACTCTATCACTTACATACTTGTGGAAAATCTTAGTAATAATGAAGAAGTTTTGAGATCAAGAAGTATTCACTACATTGCATTTTTCTTTGTGACATTTACTGCCAGTTGAAAAAGTGAACAATTATCTAGTGCATCATGCTTGATTACCAGTCATTTCAAGCAAAAAGTAGTGAACTTGTGAGAAATTTGTGATGCTGTTTTTCTTTATATGCCATCCCTGCTTAATTAGCTAATTGTTTAATGAACTTCTTGGAATTATAGACAGATGGTACTGATAATGGAAACCGAGTTCTTCTTTACAATTAGTGGTCTATGTAGTTTTAATATAGAGGAGTTGATGTTTTGCACTTAAAACATCCTACTGTGGTTTTCTTTTATACTATTATAAAAGTGTGTACCAATGTGCACAAATATCTATTAATATCTATGTTATTTTGTATTCCATTCTAGTTTTAAATATTTAAATCTATCTCAATAACAAGAAAATTATGAAAAATAAAATCAAAGATAGTTCTTTATTTGAAGAAAAGGTTGTAAAGAGTCAAAAGGCATATGGGAAGGGAAATCATTTTGCTTATTCACCCAGATGGATAATGACACAGAATTAATGTTTACAAAGAATTTTACAAAGTTTACAAAGATTGTCAACAAATAGTGCTATAGAAGTATCAACTTGATGATTGCAGTGAGGATGAACATGCTAGATAACATGAATTTTATATTAACAAAAAGAAGGTGAAATTCTTAATTGGACTGTGTACTCAGTGTATATCAGATTTTAAGGGAGAATAAGATATTAAGAATTAGAAAATAATAATAAATAGAATACAAAGGAAGTTCAACTATTTGGATGAACTTCCTGTCTGATAGAATAGAATAACATAGAATAACAGAGTTGGAAGGGACCTTGGAGGTCTTCTAGTCCAACCCCCTGCTTAGGCAGGAAACTCTACACCACTTCAGACAAATGGTTATCCAACATCTTAAAAACTTCCAGTGTTGGAGCATTCACAACTGTTGTTTCACTGATTAATTGTTCTAACTGTCAGGAAATTTCTCCTTAGTTCTAAATTGCTTTTCTCTTTAATTAGTTTCCACCCATTGCTTCTTGTCCTACCCTCAGGTCCTTTGGAGAATAGCTTGACTCCCTCTTGTTTGTGGCAACCCCTGATATATTGGAATACTGCTATCATGTCTCCCCTAGTCCTTCTTTTCATTAAACTAGACATACCCAATTCCAGCAACTGTTCTTCATATATTTTAGCTTCCAGTGTCCCCTAATTATCTTTGTTGCTCTTCTCTGCACTCTTTCTAGAGTCTCAACCTTTCTTAGATCTTCTCAATTAGGCTGTTGCCGCATATATAATTCAGGATATATATGTTGCCTCATATATAATTTAGCATATATCAGATTTTGAGGGAGAATAAGATATTGAGAGTTAGCAAATAGTAATAAATAGAATACAAAGGAAGTTCAACTATTTGGATGAACTTCCTGTCTGCTATCCAAACCTTTCTTTGATCTTCTCAATTAGGCTGTTGCCTCATATATAATTCAGCATATAATTCAGATAGTTTCTCAAATATGTATTCATCATTGCATAGACAATGGAGAAAACCATTTTAATTAAGAAATCTACCACAACAGTTCCATCCGATTAAACTTCATACTTTACATATTTTCATAACTGCATTTTGTTAATTCTATAGTATGTTGGGGAAAATATAGTAGGAAAAATTTATATCATATGTGTGATCATATACTTTTGTACAAGTGCCTTGTGAGATTTTGAACGTATTGAATCAATTGTTTGATTTAGACCCGTTTATTCTTCTATGATACTGTCTCTGTGTAAATAAACCGAACACAACTTGCCTGCTTTCCATCGAGTGATAGCTTTAGGGCAGAGTATTGGGGTGAAAAGAAACAGAGATGATAACTTCATTGGATTCACTTTTGCTGCAACATGAAGCTTGCAAGGACTGTATTTCATTGCACTGACACATTCTCCAACATGACTTTGATGACTTCAGGCAATTTAAGCATACAGATAATATTAACAAATAAGTTGGCTTGAAATATTTTGGCAAATACGTTTTGTACCAAGGTGCAAACGTGAGTTATATTGGTGTTGCTGAATTTCTGCACCATGCTGATTATGTAATATTTTAAAAAGTTGTTATTTCAGAATACTTTTAAACACTCTTGGGTTCCAACTTCTCTGAAATGTGAAAAATCATAAAATAAAAATAGACTATGTGCTACATATAAAATAGACTACATTATAAATTATGTCATGTTAGATAACAAAATAATGGTATATTATTCCTCTCTCAGTCGTAATGTGTGAATATATCATCCAATTTTATATTATAGGTTTAATATACTTTCTATATCCTACATTAGAATATGGTGATACTTTAATAAAAGATCTTGATTTCTACTTACTGCAGTTATGTTGTCATGCTGTAAAAAATATTTTAAAACATTTTACTACATCTTAAAATCATTTTGCTTCATTGTCTTGTTACTTTGAGAACTCTGTCAGAGAGGAGTATTTTAAAATAGCAAATCCTCCCCAATTCTCCCTTATTTCAGAGAAAATACTACTCCCTATTGATGCACAAGCATTGCTCAGCCAACCTTCTACATGTAAATACTGAACATCATGCCCCATCTTCCTGGTTATATTTGTACTCGCAATCTAATCTCATGTTCCCACCTACAGTAAATATATTAACACTAAAATGAAGTTTATCTCCATTAGCATTTGAAGTAAATACAATTGTCAGGGAAAATTTTGCCTGTGAAAGGAAGGAAGGAAGGAAGGAAGGAAGGAAGGAAGGAAGGAAGGAAGGAAGGAAGGAAGGAAAGAAAGAAAGAAAGAAAGAAAGAAAGAAAGAAAGAAAGAAAGAAAGAAAGAAAGAAAGAAAGATCTTCTACTGAAGCATCTTGGATTTTTGTAGTTTAAAGTTCCTTTGGCATATAGACTATATGTGTGTGAATAAATAATGCAGTAGTGTTCAAACACAAAGATACTGGGTCTCATTGTCACCGGAAACCTCAGAGACTCACTTGCCATAGTTGAAGAGACAGAAGTTTCTTTTTGTTATGAAAAATGTTTTTGTGAAGAACAAAACTGGGGCGGGGGGTGGGGGGGTAACTGCTACAGAATACTTGATGGGCACTTTAATCTTCTATTAATATGCAAATGTTGCTCTTTAGAACCTCTGCTAAAGATTTTTTTTCTCCCCTATCAAGCTATTTGAAAATAGTTCTTTTCTCCCAAAGGTCCTTCTTTCTTGAGTCTAAGAGAAACACTGTTTTCTATACCACATTCCCAAGGCCCTCTTGTTGGCATCATTTTCATTTGAAATTATGTGGAGTTTATTGAACCACATTTGTAAAACATTCCACAGTTGATTTTCTTTTAAAGATCTCCTTTAATAGAGCCAAGTCCCCTGCTGATCTGTGTCGAGTATGTTAAAGGAAATCATCTCAAACAAGAAGAGCAATGAAAAAAGAATGCAAAGAAATTCGGATATAAGGGAGTCAACCCCTCCCCTATGCAATCTTAGCGTCATAATCAACTTAGAGTAGATATGATTATCTGGTAATTATATACACATTATCTGGTAAACATTAAATGTTCAGAAAATGTTTCTTCTTGTGAAATATTTGTCATAAATATGACCTCTATAGTTAATATGCAGTAGAAAGAGCTACAGTTGTGTATAATATTCTTGCCAGTGTCTGTTTCTCTCCCCCTAAAATAGACCCCACCACTTCCTTTTAGTAATATACCTAATATCCTAAAACTTCCACCATAGAAGGAAAAAAATCAGAAGATAAAAACTCACTTGCTGCTATAGAATGTAAAATTGAGGCATTTTGCACTCTGCTGTACAAAACCAATTTTGGGCAGGCCATTTCTGGATATCTGTTGAATAGTCCAAGCATGTTTTTCTACATTCATTCTTTTTTTGTTTTTCTTTCTAAATTATAGAAAGAAAGGAATGCACAAAGGATATGCTTCCCTTGTAAGTTCCTACAAATTGGCTGAGCTGTCATTTTAAAATGTTGATGTCTTTAAAAGACAACATATTAGCAAAATATTAACAAAATATTAATATTAGGAGCTCCACATATTTTTGTTTGAAATAATCTATATGAGTATGTTATCCTTACATTGAATGCTTCCATTTTTTCCTATATGTATGTATGTATGTGTATGTATACAAAGACACAAATATATACACACACTATGTTTGTGGATGGTGTCTATCAGCTTTAAAGATACTGAGCCAAAAAAAAATTAAATTTAAAAAGTTACTTAAAAAACCAGTAATGTTCATAGATTTAAACATAAATGTTTGCAAGTCAATGTATGTAATATGTGTGGATACTGGGGTGCTAATTCTCAGCTACACAACCATCTGTGTGATTTTCAAATCATACCCATTTCTTAATTACATAATTTTTTTTTCTTTGAGATGTTCATTGCGTGGAGACTTCTCAGGCTGTACTATGAAATATGAAGCAAGGAGCAGGGAAAATGGCAGGTAAACATCCTAAACAAAATGCCACCTACACCAATGTATGTTTCAGCCAGCCCTGAAGCCAAGAAAAAAAAAAAGGAACTGTTTTTCTAGAGGTGGCCAAAAACTGGAATTCCCCCCCTGCCCAATAATACCTCAGAAACTCAGCTTTGCAGTCTGCATTGTGTGATGCCCAGGGGAGCTTATGTCCTGCAGCAGACAAGCAACATGATCCTTGTGTTATATAGAATTCAGTGTTCCCAGAGCCAAATGCTGGCCATAGTTTGCTTTTCAATGAAAAGTAAGAAGGCATGGATCCCTCTCTGGGAGAATCATCTGAAAAGGCCTGGCCTAGAGTACTTACATACTGTGCTTTCTATGGCTTGCTTGAATGAGTAATATGGCAGAAAGGAAAAGATCCCAACACGGAGAAGCCCTAGCAGGAAAAAAAATGGACATCTATCATTATTATGAAAAAAAGATGCAATTCTCTATCATTAACTTAGGCAACAAAAAGTACTGTGACATTCTGCCCAATTTGGCTGTTATTATGAGTAGATTTCCATGCCTTAATTTAAAACATTTGACTCATAATAGGGCACTAACTACCCAATAATAGCATTCATATGCAAATATAAATGAAGGGTAGCAACACAAACACCTATTTTTTTTTTCAGGGAAATATATATTTCCAGGATAACAAATTAAAAATGATTCCTTGGTATTTTTTCCCCAAATTTAAGTGTTCTACTCTTAATATAATGCTGTGACTTGAGTCTGACCAACAATATTATATTGATAAAAGATATATCAGCCTGATAGGTCTTATATACAGTAGCTATCCTTAAAATGAATTTTACTGCTAGTAACTTCATGAATTCAAAACACACATTCTGGAAAGGACTCAAGCCCTTTCATTAAAGAATAGAATATTTCATGGCTGCCCTCAAATCTCCACAATGAGCACATAATGTAGCTATTGATGCCCAACCCATTTTCTACATGCATTTGACATCACCACATATAGAGTAGAGTCTCAACCATGACATTGCACCTGCCCTCTTGCAAATGTTGATCTCTCTTACAGACATTACTGGCATCTTCTCTAATTTTCTACAGGATTCCAAAATTGGAAAGCTTTTCATCATTCTGAGATCTTAACACTGCAGCTGTTATAATATTCATAAACCTGATCTGCAAGACATATGTGAAGATCTCACCAAAACAGCTGCGATTCATGCAATACTATTTATGTATTGTAAAATTCTATTTTTTCCCTAGAACACTCATTTTAAGCCTTCAAACAAATTATTTATCATCAGAAGGAGACTTCCCACCAGGCAAGGCTCAGCAATGCAAGCTGAAAAAGACCTTTGACATAACACCGAGTATCTCCAAACCTAAACATTATCAATGAATACCTCCCATGCATTGAGAAAATATGTAAGGGTTATAGAAGTGCTACATAAAATCAACAGTGTTGATTTACCTCACTTAACACAACATATGATCAACTAGAAACTATGAGCAAAAACAAAGCAAGAGAAATCTCTATAATTAGAACTAAGCACTGAAGGAAAAGTGAGTATGTAAAGACTAAGCTATAATCTTTCCCATTTCATGTTCTACAAGGGAATTTGTAGTAAACTTATAAAGAGATAAAGTAAGAAAATAAAAGAAATAGCTCTGCTGAAAGAAAGGTAGTTCAAATAAAACGTACTGTATTTGCTTCCTTAATTAATATAACATAGCCTACCCTTAAAGTAAGGGATGCAGTGGCTCAGTGGCTAAGATGCTGAGCTTGTTGATCAGTTCAGCGGTTCTAATCCCTAATTCCGCATAATGTCAGAGGGTGAGCTCCCGTTACTTGTCCCAGCTTCTGCCAACCCAGCAGTTTTGAAAGCATGTAAAAAATGCAAGTAGGAAAAATAAAGACCACCTTTCGTGGGAACGTAACAGCATTCTGTGCGTCTTTGGCATTTAGTCATGTTGGTCACATGACCATGGAGACGTCTTTGGACAGCGCTGACTCTTCAGCTTTAAAACAGAGATGAGCACCACCCCCTAGAGTCGGGAACGACTAGCACATATGTGTGAGGGGAATCTTTACCTTTACCTTACCCTTAAAGTCTTGTTTTACTTTTAATAAGAACAGTGTCTTATATAACATCTTCCCACTATGAGCCCACCCTATGCCAGCACCTGGGGACAATACCAGGTCTCAAGTGTCCTCCAGAAGGTTAAAGAGGGGGACCTGTTAGATCTCCAGGGTAAGGAGGTTCTATAGGCAGGAACTACAATAGAAAAAGCATGATCCTGATACAGTGATAAATACATGGATCCATTTTATTATTTACAAGATTATTTATATCCAGAATAACATTCTATGTTAAAGAAGTACTCATAATTCCCAAAGTCCAGAGGACTCCCACCCTATTAGTCTTCCAGAGGGCTATGAAAACTTGGTTCTTTGCAAGCTTTGGGCTAGGATAAAAGTGATTCCAGCAAATGCAAATTTACAGTTGTGGGATGCTGTGGCACTATGGTTGGGATATATGGTGTTGTGGGTTCACTTGGCCATATTTATTGTGTTTTTATTTAATGTCATTGTAAACCACCTTATATTATCACATCAGCCATATAAATTTTCTAAATAAATAAATATGATTTTCCCTTTGTATCAAAGGGATTCAGAGGTAGTATGTCTATCTAAATTGCTGTACTTTCTACTGTGTCATTTTTTTAATGTTAAGAAGCTCATTTTTCATGGTATTTCCAAATGTTATCTAGACTTTTATTGAATTTGGTGGCTTCTGGTTTCATTTTTTTAAATGTTAAGAAGCTCATTTTTTTCATGGTATTTCCAAATGTTACCTAGACTTTTATTGAATTTGGTGGCTTCTGGTTTCATTCAAAAGAGCATTCATCTCAGTTCAAACTTAGATATTCCAGTTTGGCTATTGGTAAACTCCATGTTTAATGTTATCTTAAATCTCAAATTAAAAGAAATTTTAAAATATAAAATGGTTTGAAAATAGAAATCAGTTATTATCTGCTTCTCTATACATAATCATCATTATTCCAGAAGAACAAACTGTGGTCTCGTTGCCCTGTCATCTATTCCCTTTGCTCTTCTTGCAGCTCTACACCCTGGTAGGGACTAACCATCTGCGTGTGGGGTCAGAATTAAAGCTAAACATCTTTTTCTCTTGAAATAGGAATTTTGGATTCTAATTACTTTTCAAGAATTCTACTTGAATCCTTAATATAGACAGTCCTCCAATGGTAGTTAAGGGCCACAGAAAAGCTCTATATCACAACTTTCTATAATCATGGTTGGGTGAAATAACTGATTAGAATTTATGTAGTTCAAAATATAAGCTTCAGTGTCCTTTTTTTAAACTAATAATGTATTTTAACTTAAGTGATAATAGTATTCTAGCCATATGAACCTAAATTTAAATATGTGCACAATCACATAGTAGAGGCAAAGCAACCTGATTTTATGTTTTTGTTTAATAAGATATATGTTTTCGTTTGTTTGTGCTGGAACTCCAAAGGAAGTGTAATATTTTAGGAAGAAAAGAAATTATATTTATTTGCTAACTCTCTAAGATTTGCATTAAAGCAAATGTTTTCAAGTTAGTCTGATGTCATGAATCAAATCTGCCACCAACCTGAAAAAGTGATCTTAATTAGAATTAAACCAGTTTTGGACTTATTCATCCACTGAATTAGCCTAGAGCTTCAACAGTAATTATCACCTAGAATTGTCAATTCTATTACCAAATTGTCAATAAGGAAATGTTATATAGGTGATTTATAACTTACTTGTTCTATGAAGATATATAAACATGTAATTAGACACCATTAACATGTTAAAGCTGCTTCATATGCTCAGAATAAAACTGAGCAGCTTTGACATTTCTAAATTAATATACAATATCTCATCTCAATAACATATTTATATCCCAGCTACCCCTAACCTCCATAGATATGTTGGCTAGAAACTGTAATTCCACATATCGGAATAGCATCTGATAGAGGAAAACTGTTTTGCAAGCGGATAGAGATAGACTGAGACAGCTAACTGAAGAGAAATAAATTTTGATTTGTGAAGATGCCTGCAAAATATATGTTTAATTTAGTTATGCATATTCTGATTTACCAGTTTCACAGGCTTTGCAAAGTTCAGTGGTTACATGAAATGTCCAAATATTGATATTGATTTTTTGCTTTCTACAAGGCTGTATAATTCACTTCAGTCATTATTTCAACTTTATGCATTAATCACATTCAATGAGTATCTTCCATAAGCTCTTAAGGCCACCATATCAATGATATAGACCTTTATTCCCATAATATAATTTTAACAAAATACTTTTCTTATCCCTGCATACTTTTCCATTGGCTCTACTTATATTTCTTTGCTTTTTGATGGCAGTAATATAGTGGCTTCAGAAAGTATTCAGACCCCCCCCCCACTTCACTTTTGTCAATTTTGTTATGCTGCAGCCTTATACTACAGTTGTTAATCTACACTCAGTACCCCATAATGACAAAGTGAAAACAAAATTTTAGAAATGTAAACTGATTAAAAAGGGGAAAAAAACTGAAATATCACATCACATTACATCACTGTTTCTGTTTCTGATTCTATTTCTTTTGCAATTTTATTTCTTTCTCAATTCCAGTCCCTCCACTTGTCAGCATATACAGTACAGTATATGAAGCCCTTGGAAAAGCTTAGCTGTCAATTTGGAATAGAATATCACTAATGAACTGTTGATATCCAATTGGAAGAATGCATTCTTGACTAGCTTCACGCAGTATTCAAAGAATAGCAGAGGGACATTATATACTAGTCACCCTATTCTTTACCCTCAATTATTTGTAACCCCAAGTTGCTCAAAGTCTTTTTACACATTTCATTGGCTCATTGTGTGTTGCCACATATTAACTAGATTTTATTTTAAAAAATTCTGGAACTATGTTCTTGAAGACAAGTGGATAAAGAATGAAAAGTTTATAAACTTTGTATCTTCTGATACAAATCAAGAGATATTGGCCTTCTCTTCCTCTTTATCCACATCTTTTACAGCTGGATTTCCCTATTTTTACCCTGCTTAAATTTATGGTAACTTTCTTAAATCTGGTAATCTCCACTGTACATTGAATTTCTCAACCTAATGAAACTGAAAGATGCTACAGTTTTACCTTCTATTTATGAATATAATGTACAGTCATGTTCTAATTCTTCATAAGCTTATAAGCATAAGCTTAAAAGGAGAAGGATCAGGGACAGCCTATCATTATATAGTAAGTAACAGTCAAGGAAATCATTCCTGGATATTCTTTTTACCCTTTTTTACTTATTGATGAGGAATTTTCAGAGACCACAGCCTCATTTCTTTAATTTGGTGATCTTTGTTTGTTGGTTCATTAGATCAATATCTTAACTTTATTTTTCAGAAGCTAAAAGAAATGTACATATCCCTGGAGGCAAGAGATGAAGAGAGATTCTCAACTGTTTGTCCACATTCTGTCCTTCATTTTAAAAGATCTAAAGTCATTGTACACAATTAAAAAGTGTACAAAACTCATAAAATCATCTGCTACAATGTCCTACCTGTCAATGAGTACTTCAGCTTCAATCACAACAATACACAAGCACACAATAGATACAAACTTAAAGTGAACTGCTCCAAACTCGATTGCAGAAAATATGACTTCAGTAACAGAGTTGTTAATGCCTGGAATGCACTACCAG